GATTTAGTCCTAAGGTTTAACCCCTAAGACCCAGAGGTAGACAAGAGATGAGACTCAAGTCCGGAGAAGCAGGAATGAGCAGAACTAAGATGATATTTGAACTGAGGAGTTCTGGAGTATTACAGGAGTTTATATACTATAAATATCATGTAAGTAAGTAAGTCAGCAAAGTAAGGGCTATGTACGAAGCATGTGGAAAGTCTATTAGTAAGTGTATACAGATCAAAGCAGTGAGGTCAGAAATGAAGTATGAACAGATGGATCAGTAAGCATAGCAGAAAGGATATAACTGGTAGCCGGAGCAATAGCTATTCTAAAAGAAGCTAGGGGTGAGTACAGAGATGAAGGCGGAGCGCCAGGCAGAATAACAGGATGGAGAACCGGACTTTAGTGGGGAAGATCAGGAATTCCGGATCCAGAGGTGTGGGATATGACAGGATGCCAGCACCTCCAACACCACTTGTGAACATCCCACCCCTGTTCCGACCCCCTGTTTCCCTGTCTGCTCCATCCCTCCTTCTCTGACAATGCATGAAGTGCATCTCAGCAGGACTAGCCCTGCTACCTCTGCTGAACTCTGCTCCACTCCTCCAACACTACCCCTATTTCCTCCGACACTATACCCCTCCCATCCGACCCTATCTGGAGTTCCGCTCCTCTGCCCTATTGGTCTGCCCGATGCTACTCTTACTCCCTCCGCTTTTCCAACCCACTTGGTTCCTTCAGTTCCACTTGTATTGCCACACCCAACTATTAGTCCACCCGACTGCCTCACTGGTCCACTCCTAGACTAGGAACCTGTCATATACCTGATCCGACCGCTCCAATATTAATATCCACTCCACCTTCCGACCACCTCCGCTCCATCCATCCTCCACTCTGTCCAATCACAGTCCACATCTGCCCCTACGCTTCCGCTCGACTGCCCAACCAGTCACCTTCTAGAACGTCTCCACTCAACTGGAAGCTCTCTCCCCTTTTAGATATATACTTTCCCCTTCAGTACATAGACCCTTACTTCCGGATCACTGGTAATTCCTCTTACCGCTCGATCACTGATCCGACGTGTACATATTGATATCTGCTCCAACTTATGTCTTCGCCTGTGTAAGTACTTACAAATTATATCCTTGGTACATAGCTTTACAACATAGGCCTCCTAATCACTGCCTCACACTTAGAAGTATATAACATATCCTGTACTTAGATATTTTCCTCAGTCTTAATATTACTTGTCTTCTTGCAGTTTCTACTTGTGAGAATTCTCAGTAGGACCTTGCCTCCTCTGGACACAAGTTTCATCTTGTTGTCACCTCCAACTTAGAGCCATGCTCTAAAGTCTCCCCCTTTACTTCTCCACCCCTACCAAATCATCCCCCTTGCTCCTATCCACCCTCCACCTTAACCTCTGCCTTCTCCACTCCACTCCTAGTCGGCCCGCCGCTGTTAAGACCGTGCTCAGGGGTAAAGCAGAGTCTGAGGGGCTTGGCTTCAGCTCGTACGCTGCGCCCCTTACCCGAGTACGTGCCCCTAATTTCGGAATGTAGTCCGACATGAGTTCTATGAGTTCCGACAGGACGTTGGAATGGGGGTCCTCTGAGAGAGGGCCGACAGACTACTAGATGAGCATGGGGAAGTCGGGCGGGGGTTGTTCCGCCCGACAGGAGGGAGGCGGGAGACTACTGTGGTCGGAACCAACAGTAGAAGCGGGGTGGAAGGGACCGCTCGGACGAAGTCTGAAGCAGAGCGGAATGGAGGGGATGGATGTGAGAGTGTGGGGTTTAGCTCCGACACACAGGAAGTTGGACGAGTGGAGGAACGGAGGATTGAGGGAATAGGGAAAACGGGGGAACGGGGGAATGGGGGAACGGGAAAATGGGGGAACAGAGGATTGGAGGATTAGAGGGTGGCTGACCTAGGGAGTCAATCCCATAGGCCAGCTAACAGGAGTTGACTAGGATCAGGCCCAAGTCAAAGAACAGAAGAGCAGGGCTTAGAAAAGGTAATATTCAGACTGAGTATCTACAGACAAATGTACATATGTTTATATACTCTAAGCAATGAGCACAGCATAGCAGAAGGCTATGTGCTGAGCGCTCAGGAGTACAATAGGATGACTGAGACATGCAAGAATAAGGCTCGGGGAACAGTGTGTACGCAATGGATCAGAATCGCTAGGGTATAGGGATTACTGGTGATCCGAAAAGCGGAACTATGATACTAAATGGGGATAGGACCAGTTGGGTGGTTCCTAGTCTAGGAGTGGACTGGTGAGGCGGTCAGACAGACTAATAGTTGGGTGGGACAAGATGAGCAGAACTGAGCGGGTCGGAAAAGCAGAGGGAGTAGGAGTAGGATTGGGCAGACCAATAGGGCGGAGGAGCGGAACCCCAGATAGGGTCAAATGGAAGGGGTATAATGTTGGAGGACATAGGGGTAGTGTCGGAAGAGTGGAACAGGGTCGGGCGGAGGTAGCAGGGCTAATCCTGCCGAGATGCACCCAGTGCATTGTCAGAGAAGGAGGAATGGAGCGGACAGGGAAACAGGGGGTCAGACCAGGGGTGGGGATGCTCACAGGTGGCATTGGAGGTGCCCAGATCTGGTATATGACAGCCACCATTAGCACTTACCTCCCGACCCTCAAAGCAGATCAAAGTGGTCCACTCATCCTATTGTCGGACAACATCAGACCCACTCCAAATTTGGGGCATGTACTCAGCTAAGGGTGCAGCGCAAGAGCTGAAGCCAAGCCCTGACCCCTCCGCTTCTTGAGCCCAGCATGGTACCTAACACCGGCAGTCTGGCATTCTCAGTAAGCTGTCATATACCCGATTCAGCCACTCCCAACACTGTTCATAGACATCCCTACTATTGGTCCGACCCCCTGTTCCCCTGTCCGCTCCATCTCTCCTTCTCCAACGATGCATGAAGTGCATCTCAGCAGGACTAGCCCTGCTACCTCCGCTCAACTCTGCTCCGCTCCTCTGACACTACCCCTATATCCTCCGACACCATATCCCTACCCTCCGACCCTATCTGGAGCTCCACTCCTCCGCCCCATTGGTCTGACCAATCCTACTCCTACTCCTACTCCCTCCACCATCTCTGCTTTTCTGACCCACTTGGTTCCTCCAGTTTCTCTTGTATCGCCTCACCCGACTATTAGTCTGCCTGACCGCTTCACCGGTCCACTCCTAGACTAGGTACCACTCAACTGGTCCTATCCCCGTTTAGTATCATAGTTCCTCCTTTTGGATCACCAGTAATTCCTATACCGGAGTGATTACTGATCCATCGCGTACACACTGTTCTCCGAGCATTTTCTTGTATGTCTCAGTCATCCTTCTAGTAATTCTGTACACTCAGCACATAGCCTTCTGCTATGCTATGCTACTTACTTAGAGTATATAAACATATGTACATCTGTCTGTAGATATTTAGTCTGAATATTACCTTTTCTAAGCCCTGCTCTCCTGTTCTTGTTCCTGGGCAAAAACCCTTGACCGCTCCTATTTGCTGGCCTAGGGGATTGACTCCCTAGGTCGGCCGCTCCTCCACCTTTGTCCTCTGTATGCCCATTCTGCTTCAGACTTCACCCGAGCAGTCTCCTCCACTCCACTCCTACTGTTGGCTCCGTCTGCGGTGGCCCTCCGACTCTCCCCTGTTAGGGCGGACCAATCTCCGCCCAATGTTCCCGCACTTATCTAGTAGTCCATTGGTCCTCCTTCGGAGGACCTCCGCTCCAATGTCCTGTCGGAGCTCATAGAACTCAAGTCGGACTAACAATCCAAAATTAGGGGCACATACCCAGGTATGGGGCACAGCGCACAAGCTGAGGCCAAGCCCCTCAGACTCTGTCCTACCCCTGAGCACAGTCTTAACATAAGCACTACATGCTCCGAACAGGTGTGGTCAACTAACAACTGGGCAGGCATCGCAAATTGGATATTCTCTTGCCACCTCAGGCGCTATTGCTGCTGCTATTCAGCTTTGCATCATGCCCTACTTGCTTCAAATGTTTGACTCTGTGAAGGTGTATAATTTCTGCATGGCCTTATGGCCTCATACCTTCCTTGTCTTGCCTATTCTGAACCTTATCACTTGCACTGGCTTGGATGAGACCACTGGTGAACTTGGAACGCCTGCTGTTGCTTTGCTGTGGGTTGGCAGCGCTTTCATCCTCATGTTATCCAAGGTCGCTTCACTTGCTTATTCATATGTGTTTGTCCATTTCTTAACTTGCTTTGGTGGTTGACACATGATTTTTAGCCTCAGCATGATTATGCCTTACCCAAGGGTCGGACGATGGGAAATCTGATTTTACTTCCCAATGGAAGAATTCTGTGTTTGAACAGTGCAAAGACTGGTTAGTGACTGGAGGTTTAAATGTGCTTACAGTAACATCTTTGACACCATCCAGGTACTGCTGGCTATGGAAACATGACCTTTACCATTGGCCAATCATATGCCGACCAGCCAATTTTGGCGCCACTTATCTACGATCCAAGGGCACTAGCCAGCAAACACTGGCCTTGGTACAGACTTTCTTCGAGTTCTATCCCACAAATGTATCACTCCTCAGCTACCTTGCTTCCAGATGGTAGGTGTAATCCAGTCAGATGAGAGTTTCATTAATTTTTTAGGTCATCATGATGAAATATATCACAGCAGTCTCCACTATCTTACTTTTTTCAAGCTAGCATATATATGAACCTCATTCAACACCCCTATGATTTTCCATCCACTCTGCGACATGCAAATTCTCAGTTCCATGGTCACCTCATACACAGCTGGGTACACCATGTTCCTAAATGATGTCCAGAAATAAGTTGAGAACAGTTTCAGCATGGTTATTGTCACTAACACATATGCCAGTGACAAATTGTGAGAAGCCATCTATGAATGCATGAATTACAAGCCTATATTGAATCAGAGCTATGTGATGCTTCAGGAAATACTGTGGTGTTACATGAATGTATATACATGAACCATGTTGACCATCATGATGGTAGAGCAAATTCGGTCATGGAACTGAGTAGACTTGCCTTTGGATCTTCCGTGCCCCAAACATTGTGGTAGGTGCCCCATGAACACGTGCATATGACTCTAAAATCCCCATTGAGCATCTGTCTCCCAAATTTTGGAAAAAGCTTGAGTACCTGCTGCATGATTTCATCCAATTCTTCATCAGAAAGATTGGATGTAGGGGCTGTTGATGACATGTAGATATGAGTAATTGACCCATCATCAGCTACATAGTCAACATATACAGGTGGCCCTGGCTGAATGAAACCATGTTCGAGGGCACACACTGCTGGATTGTACGAGGTGCAACGCCAAATACAAACACTAGATCCATTGGCCCTCAAAGTTGTAACACAGCTTGTAAAACAGTGGGGTCAATTTCATATCTTGGTTGCCCTTGACCTCCTGTGCGCACTGTGCAAGCAATGGTCAAAGGAGATGTTTCGGCAGGATCAGATGAGTGTCGGGTAGCCTTGTCAAGGTGACTGATCATGCTATGAATACTAGTCTCAATAGTGGTACCCTCCTCAGCAGAGAAGAGATCCACGTGCTGCATATATGTCAGAAGATGTATAGGTGTTACATATAATGACTTGCCTGTCCTACAAGTGTCAGTAACCTCAAACACTCATTTTGCTGCGCCCCCAGGTGAGCAGCATCTCCAACTTGTGTGCGAAGGGCAGTATTGACCCATTGGCCAATTTTGGTGTAAGCTGCGCAAATAGTTTGGATTGGTATCGCATGCATTTGCAGGTACCAGTGAGCAGCGTCCATGTGAGTAGTGACTCAGGGACGTGCAAAGTCGAGTGCATAATCAAAGCGGAAGACAAAAGGAAAAGAAGAGCTCAAGTGAATCTGATCAAACCAAAAACAGAGTGGTGCCTTCCAAAGGTAAAACAAAGATCAAGATATGTAAAAACATGTTTAACTTGTCCTTGAACATGGCTGTGGTCTTGCGTTAAGGTTCCTGCATTTATTTTTCTTCATAAGTTGTTGTCTACACCTAGGTTATCATACACCATTATTTGCCATGATTCATCATGAGCTGTTGTATCTTATGCACAATCAGGTCACAATTTATTTTTGTCCAGTAGTGGTCCCCAAAGTTTTAGGCCAGAATTGAACTTCAAATTTGAGCACACGCAGAAATTCCGATTAAATTACTTATTGTCATTGAGATATGGTCGGTGGGAATATGGTTGCCAATGCTTCAAATTTTGTATTTCATTTAAAACACTGCCAAAATTTGAAGTTATGTCTCCATCTTTATGTCAGTTTAAATTTCAAATATTTTCTTCACATTGGGTACAACATAAAAACATCTCCTAAATATCGATAACCCCAATGTGTTAGAGGCAATATGTGGGTAGACTCATGACCAGCCCCTCTATGAGGCAAGCTGTTGATAGAGGGACTGGTAAAACTGGCTTTGAATTTGGATGCTGAGTGGATTCCCAGGGTAATGTGATGTCTGGCCAATGAGAAAACCAGGTTTTTTCAAGCTGTGCATAGAATACAAAATAAACAATAATATTTCCACTATTGACGCAACGCAACACGACGTACACTTGCAAAATCAATGGACCAATCCTCCATCATCCAAGCTTTTCGTGATGCTTCCCTCAATGCATTGGATCACTTCATGCATGATTTAATCAAAGAATGACTCCCTACTGACTACCTTCAAATGCTCAATAATAACAACAGAACAGATGCGTTGCGAGCGCGCTTGATCATCTATGTTCTGACAGCAACGGTTATCATTCCGTGTCAATTCCAACTCGAAGCTATGCCTGCAACCCTGAATGGTCGAGACAGCATCATAACTGCAGGCACTGGCAGTGGGAAGACACTGTGCATCATAATTCCTATCCTACTTTGTCCGGGTACTGTGACCATGACGATTTCGCCACTCAAATGGCTCCAGGCCACACAGGTAACTCCGCTGAAGTGCAATGACTTTGTGCGCATGCAAAATATACTATTACAGGTTCTTGAGTCTGTGAAATATGGCATAAATACAATATCCATCAATAAGGACACACCAAATGATCCATCTCTTTGGGAGGTAATCATCCACCACTCATCTATGCATCTTTTTGCAATTTTCAACACTTACGAGAAGCATACAACTAGGACATTCATGCTGGAAAGTTCTCGCATCTAATTGTTTCACCAGAACAGTTATCTATGTTTAATGGGCATCTCCCATGTCTTGCCCGACTCATTCGACAAGATCGGGCCTTCACTCAACAAATCAAGCGTGTACATGTTGATGAAGCCCACAATATCTATATAGCAGGACTGTCACATCACGGAGAAGAAGCTTTTTGACCCGCATACAGTAAGCTCAGGGAACTGCGTGTGCTACTCTGCAAAGGCACATCATTTCAAGCACTCTCAGTAACATTCCCTCCTCATATTCTCTCAACTATACAATGTAAACTCATGATGTTGCCGGATCACGTATCATTAGCACTTTCGATGAATTGTGCGAACATCACCTATGCAACGACTCCACTGATTGGTGGACCTCATAACTTTCACAACTTCAACTGTCTAAGTCCAAAGACACTAACAAGGCGTCCTCAGCTGCCCCCGCAAAACGAAAATGTACCCAACTTCGCGAGAAGGACCTTCGAAAGCCACTATTTGACAGATTACATCAGTAGAGAGCAGAGACCCATTCCAGCTGTGTCCTTTGTGCTGTTTGGCCAATCACATGGCTGTGTAGTGACGACAACCTCAAGCTCCTTAGCAAAACAAGTCCGGATAATGTGAAGACCATTGACAACGTTTGTCAGCTTCTGGAGGAGACCGAGGAATGGGCAAGGATTTGGGGATTACAGATACTAAGATTGATCACACAGTACGATGAGGACAACATAGCAACAGGTTTACAAACTGCCAAGAAATCTTGTAAACTTGACTAATTGATGTGCTAGTTGTGAGACAATGATGACTTTCATTCTGCTACGACATCTGTTAAGTCAAATGAAGCTGCTGACAGCTTGTCTTCCTCAGGCTCGAATCCCCCACCCACTAACATCACTTGCACCTTCTTATTGAATGTTGTGAGTGTCAAGGATTTCAGTTTTCGCTCACCCTCCCAAAGAATGTTGACCATAGGCTTAACAGAGTCATTCTCCTCTCGATCGGGGGTGAACACCTGGAGTGAAAGCTCATTGATCTTGTTAGCAACTTTCCAGGTGGATGCGGATGTGTCAGGAGTTGTGTGAGTTGTGCCTGAATAAGCGGTACCAAGTGCACGTCCAACTTGTTTCTTGATGTTTTGAAGCAGTGCAACAGTTGCAGAGATATCACCAAGGCGATCCCATGTGGAATAGATACCCTTGGCTGAGAAAAAGAGCTATATAGTATGATGTTAGTACTAGTGCATCCATCAGGGTTAGGTTGTGCCTTCAAGAACTTGATGAGATGCTCAATATTAAGGTCAATCGCCATACAGTGCCCATCGAGACCCGTAAGGTTTACAAGTGCATTGTCCTGCATGATGTCCCTATGACAAGTATGTCAGAGACAAAGAAACAATGAGAACGGTGGTGGAAATGAAAAGGTTTCGTATGCAAACTCAGGCATCCAAATTTTCTTAAGGTTGAACAGAAAGTGGAGTATTTCGGAACAGTAATTGTTTGATCCGGCACCATGAAACATCATAGCCAAGTTCCCGAGGATGTCTTTGATTCATCCCCAGTCTCCAGCTGATATAGCACTCGTTAGCTCCAAGACGTAGAGCAAGTCACGGGTGAGAAGCTGCAGGTTGCGTTGTGCGACATCAGTTGGTTCTGATTCAACATCGAAGAGATCCATCATGTTGTTTTGTTTCTTTTTTGGAGATTTGTGAGCAGGTGATGCGTGTGTCGAGAGAATTTCATCCGCAATGGCAAGAAGCTGATCAGCTGTAGGTTGAGATGAAGCAAAAGCAGCGAGTGTTGGATATCCACATTCAATATGCCATGCATTTAGAATAGTGCCTCGAAGAATTTGCATCAATGTTGCAAGAAAGGTGTGGTAGTCAGGATGTTCGCATCTGAGTTGTTTGCGATCCAGCAAGGTAAAGAAGTAAGAAAGACTGCCGATTTGATGAATGGATCCTCGATGAACATGCAGGAGAGCCCAGACAAGGTTGAGGCAGAGATGAAAGAGACCAAATCCAAGCTGGATGAACTGAAGATGGGTGAAAGAGTTTACGTCCTTGATTCACAGAGTTTTCACCCCTCATATCCGAGCATTGGTAGCTTGATCATTGAAACTAGGTATGGCACGATCAGAAAATTCTTCATGCTGCATTCGGAGCTGATTGACATAGACATCGTGAATAACAGCAATATTTCCAGTTACAGAACTTTCATCAATTGTTGAGGTGCAGAGAGGGAACTGTTTTGTTCGATAGCCTTGGGGCATTTTACGCCGGTCACCATGCTGTAGTGTTGCTGTTCAATGATAACCCTTAAAGCAGGAGCAGTTTTCAAGCAGAATGTCGACAACGTGTGCGTGAAGGTAGCTGTGAAATGATTGCATTTGGTCAACACCAGGACAGACATCAGCATTGAACATCAGCTCAGAAGCATTGAGGATGCGGCTTAGCATTGGTGAGATGCGCATATGATCTGGATTTGCATTGCGAGCTTCATACAGGATAGCAAATGTTCCCAATTGCACTTTGGCAGGAGCATTGGGACGTTGTTCCACAAAGATTGAAGTGCTAATGTTGATATTGTCGTAGCACATGATATGTGGCCAACATGCGAGCTGTCTTGCGCGATTGAGACAACGCGCTGCAAGCTTCTCGAGTAATGTAAGGAGAGACGTGAATGATATGCAAAGACCACAATGGTAGAGTGCCTCGATTGTTTGTTTTGAGGCCCCATTGGCCCAGAGAAATAAGGTAAAGGGAGCTGCGAAGAAGACACTGTGGTGCGAACGCTGAGAAGCGAGTTGCGTGATGATGATATTACATGCCTTTGAATGCAAGAATGTTCATTAAAAGGACAATAGAAAATAGCATATCATACAGTACTGCAGTCCTTGAGTTTGTTCTTATCTTTTGCCCGGTCTGTTTGAGCAGCACAATGAAGAATAGAGTTGAGGACTGGTGCTTTCAAGATGACTGTATTCTGGATGGTCGAATTAAGATCCCACGTCAAGAGGAATTCCAGAGTGATCGAGTCAAGTGTCCCTCGCAGAACCTCCTTCACCGCATCCATCTCCTGGCTGATTATAGTGGAGACCGAGGAAATGACACGTGGACGAAACCATTCCATCATTCAAGTGGGACCACGCAAATCTGCGAACAAGCAATCAAACATCTTCTCGAGTTTTCCCACTGGAGCCTTCCCAACATCTACACTCATCTTTTCCTGCCGAGAGCAGTTGAATATACAGTCGCGATTATATGCAAAGCAAGCCTCTGACGGATTGAGAATTTTTAGCATGAAGTCGAGGATACTGATATGGCCATCTCGGAGGATTTTAATGGCAGCTTTGATGCGCTCCGTTGATGAGAGGCGTGAGGAAGGTGTGATCATAGGTTCCGTGAAAGACGTGCTTGATGGACCTGTAATATCCACAAACCCAGAGTCCACAGAGCAGTTAAAGTCACTGTTTAGAATTGAAGAGGACATCATATATAGCACAAAAAGCAAGTAGCATTTGTTACATGAGGAATGGTGACGAATGAAGGCGCTGTTGAGCGGCTAGCGCAATGAGTCGAACATTGATAAGAAACTCTAAGTACAAGACTTAGCAGACTTTGCAAGGCCTTGGCAAAAGTTCACGTGGTCTTTGATATCCCCGAAAAGGGTTACCCGTCACGTTACCCTGGGAATCCACTCAGCATCCAAATTCAAAGCCAGTTTTACCAGTCCCTCTATCGACGGCTTGCCTCATGGAGGGGCTGGTCACAAGTCTAATAAGATAGACCTCATTCATACACCAGTTCATCACGTGACCTAGCGTGACATTTCAATGAATCTGCATATAACTCATTGTACACAAAGTGTGAGTGAAATCTGTTCCAATATTATGTGTGGACAGTCTGTAGCAAGCTGGACATGTATTTTTTATGATCTAATGTGAGAAACTGAAGGACGAGTAGGCATTATATTGTCAAAATGTCCCAAGTAAGCACCGCCAACGTGACAGATGCGCTAGATTAGTGACAGACACACTAAATCAAAATGAGAAGCAAAAAATTGAACTACAGTCTATCTACCTCACTATGCCATGAAAGAGGCCTTCAAACATAGCGAACCCTGCTGGTGCCACTCATCAAAAACGGCGAAAGTTCAATTACGAAGAAAATGTAATAATTTAGTGACTTACTTGTAGTTGAACTGGAAACTGCAGGATTAACTTGATTAGTGGCACATATACTTAATACCTCATGTTGAATTTAATTATTGATTCTCGAACGGCTATTGAACGTTGTGTCGAACATCGAAATCGTTGAAGTTTTAACATCAAACGGCCGCTTCAATTGTTTATCTCCCTCGCATCTAAGTCCGAGTCACTGATACGGTCACATCAGTCACAAATAGGTCACAAGGGTGAATTTGCTACAAAAATGCCTACTCCTCCTTCAATTCGCCGAAAATGAGGATTCTGAGTAGACCACTTTGATATTGAAAAGAGTAACGAGCCAAAATCATGTATTCTATCCTCAAATCACGTGATGAACTGGTGTATGAACGAGGTCTATCTTACGTGGGAGTCACAGGTGCGGATAAGCTGGACAGACTCCTGGCCGGACCGCATTAGGTTCGGTTTAAAACTCCGGCTAGAACCTTATGGTTTGACTGCCAGTCTGAAGCTAACAAATAAAATGAGTCTCAGAAAGAGGTATGTATCGATTTCCTTGCTTGGATTCCCTGGTTGATTGTCCTCAGCAAACTTGACTTGCTCGTCCGCGTTCGGTACTCGAATCCACTCCCCGCTCCTCCATGTCCCCCCAAACTGCTTGATATCCCTACAAATCCCTTACGCTATGCGCAACCAGCCTTCATCAATGCCATCACAAACGACACTCCTCTTCCTATGATTGTTGACGCCGAGTGCGGTATGCCCCTGGACCTTGGACGGTGGGAGTGTCTATGGGAAGAGAATGGCGATGATGCCAGTGCGTGATGCTCCTTCAAGGGGTAGTCTCATAGTAATTAATGTCCTACAGCACTCAATCCTGACCTGGAAAACCTGCCTCCCCTCGACCCGAAGGACCGCTTCCTTCTCGGTGACCCCTCAGCGTCCGCAGCACCCTACACCAATGGTGCAATACCCGCGGCATCAGGGACATCGACACCTCTCCCTCCACACGTACCCTGGCTCCGAAAAACAGAGTACCTCAGCCGCGAAGGCGTGCAGCGCACTCCATCATCACAAGAATCGTGCGTCCCCCTTATTATCTCATTCTGCCTTGACGTACCTGATTTGTGGTCGACAGGAAACAACCCTTGCAACCTATTGATGTCTCACACGAGGCCCAACTCCGTACAATCGAGGCCGGCTTCACCGCTTGCGCTTCCCTCGACCTGGCCACCCTGTCTCATCCCAACAAGACTGGGGTTACCGCTGTTGAGTCCTACGAGGTGCTCCCAGACGCAGACATATGGGCGAATGCATATGACTTGTTCCGCTTTAGCGAGCGGCCAGGCGAACGACCTGTAGACACAGAGGACCCAAGGCTGGACTGTGCAATCCTGCGTCCGATGGAAAGCGATGGGGATCACTTCCTGGCATATTATCTAACGAAAGAGGACGCTGATGCCGTAGAGTTTAAAGAGGAGCGATTAGCACCGAAAAGCGGCGAAGAGAACAAAGCAACGGCATTCCACTTCGTACGAGACTATGAGACTGTCAAAATCGAACAAGAAGTGCCCAATGAATTTTACTTGTTCTTGACAATGGAGACACGGGCGAGCGTGGGCCAGGCGCATACTACAAGAATATTGAGCGCAAAATGACGCTTAAGAAGAAGCGGATGAATGTGCGTAACTTTCTTCTAAACTCTCTGCACTTCGCCCTTGTGTTCGATCACTTGACCACCGCCATAACTAACACGCCCGCAGGCAAGCGATACCTATGCAGACAAGTGGCAAGTTGTACACATTTCGCACGTGGCCATGAGCAGCGAGGAAATCGAGGAGCGCAATGAGGCTCTTGCGGAGGTTGTCGATCCGCTGTACCTTTTCTCGCGCGACGCGGAGGGTGAAGTGGATGCAGATGGTGAAGTGGATGTTGCGGGGATAGGGATAGGTGCAGAGGGTGGTGCAGAGGGAGATGGGGGAATTATGGCTGAAATATTCTAGTTTGTGTGTACTGTGTAAACTATATTTGTTGTTATACAGTCGATTGCTGTTGCGGAGGAGGCAGATTCAAAGGCAGATTCAGTGTGGTGTGTATACTGTGGCCCTCTGAAATTATGAAGTAAATGGAATCGTAATTATTTTTGACGAGAATGAAGAATGCGAAATTGGGTGTTTGAGAACGATCCGAAATCACTTGAGGAACCCAATTCGAAGATTTGCTCCGAGATCATCTAGCTGCTGTTTTACGGGAGACTAAGGCTGCTGAGTTGCCAACTATGCGCTGTGCCACAGTGTTGGTGGTCGAAAATATACCTTGTAAGAGCTACGCAAGTACACGAAATCAGGTTCCTAGTCCATTCAATAACGTTAATTGATCCTTTATAATGCAAATAGCGTAAACACCATGATGACGCTCCCGAGTGCTATTGTTCTACATATCTGCGCCACTGGCCACGATGCAGAGCTTCCTATTTGTCTCGGCGAAACTATCACGGGCTGAGTAGTAGCGGTTGCAATATATGCATTCCATGCTTCCACAGTGGCAGTGGGGAAGTAGTATGTGGACTCTGTAGTCGCGGAGCCATAGTAGATGGCAGCCTGTCCCGTCATAATCTCATTTGCCAGAGAAGAGACCTCGCCACCCATGACAGTCACAGCTCCCGAAGAATTGTTGGCAACCAGCCCAGTCTGGTTACTTCCGAAGACGAACTCCCTGACGAAGACGAAACCCTTGAGAGTTTCTGGGGTCTAAATGTATTGCACTGCAAATGAAGGACGAGACGTACTGATTGGGGGTTTGTATATCCCACGAGGTGGCCTGCATGTTCGACAAGGACGTAAGTCCAGTTGCGTTCCTGATGTACGATACCAGCAAATTGGCCATCGTCGTTATACCACGGTGTCGACGGTTTGCGCGTGAAGCCTTGAATCCCACCAAAAGTTGTATTCTACGCACGATTAGCTGGCATTCCTTCATGAAACGGTTGGCGTCTAACATACTTGGATAGTAACTGAGGAAGTAGTTAGCACTTGGATGCAACAAAACCGTAGTTACTCACTTTGTGAACCAAGGTGCGGAATGAGGGAGTCGTCATTTCCGGAGAATATGACAACCGAGATGTTTTGGGCCGTCGCGTTCGTGGCCAATTCCGTGAGGAATGCCATAGGTCTGTGCTACGCAGTTAGCACCGAAGGCGTAAAGGTATACAAGGGATCCACCGACTCAATACCTAGAAAAGAACTTAGTCGGGAAGAAATTCTATGCGAGAGGACAAGGGATAAACTTACTTGGATCGCCGTTAGAATAGTCTGAGTCGGGAATCATTAGTCAAAGGAATCCTTGAATACAGTAACAGACTGACCGTTGCCGAATGGGTAGTTGATAGACTCTGCCCCAATTCATGCTCGTTGGCGCATGGATAGCAGCGCGAGTTTGAGGATCGTTCAAGAAACTGACCCATCCATGGGTGCCTCAGGGTTCAGCGCATCGGGGATGTTATACACCTACGACTTGCAATGAGCATACAGTGGCGAAAGCAAAAAATTACTTACGTCGAACATCCCTCCAGAATCCTTGCTGAGTGCTATCATCTCCATAAGCAACAGTCAAATGATAAAAACAACAAACATACACCACGGGAAGGTGAAGTTTATGGCATAATCCAGCATCTCATCGTAAACATCGCACCCGTACCACGTGTCGATAGTGCCGTTTTGCACGGCCAGCTAGATCACGTTTCCAAACATCCCGTGCGCGCAAGCGCTCGCGTTTGGATAGACTGGTGCTCCGCTTTGCTAGACGTGTGTTGTACTTCTGTTCCATTTTGGCCAAAAATAGCTTCTTGGAGAATTGACCCTGTCGGGCTCTGTATCGCCCCGATGCAGACATACCAGATGTGTTAGGATCTGCTCCAGAAGTGTAAGTCAGTGTGGGGAAGTGTCCGTTTTGGGGATATTCGAGGGTAAGGTTATAGCCGCAAAGCGCTTCTCTGGGGGAACATTAACGAAATTACATGAGAATGAAGGTATGAGTACAAACTGTTCACGGAAGTACTGAAACACAGTAGTGTCGTACCCGATTATCTGGGGGTACGTCTCAAGGGCGCTAACCTTTACAAAGTCAAGAATATGAGGTACGCCGTCTTGTGAGCAGAAGGCTCACCACCGGGAGGAGTTCAAATGTCTCTCCAGAAGCAATAGAGCCATCTCCGATGGCTATCTTAGCCAACGTAACTGGCGGATTCTCCATCTCGAAGTAAGCTTTCGTGATGTAAGGCTGTTCCGGATGATGTCAGTACTGCACCTATAGCAAAACGGCACACTCGCTATATACATGCCAGCATAGCTTTCGCCCGTTAGATGCAATGGGCGTTTAGCCAGGCCAGGGAAGACCTTGACAAGATTCTCCAAGAATCCAAACTGTGCGCAGTCAGCGGAATGCTGAGGAGCGAGCAAGATAGTATTGTACTGACGAAGTCCGTTGCCATTTGATCCTCATCGACAACTGGAAAATATGTAAGCTGGAAGGTAAATCTCGTAGGATCTAAACGCACTATAACCAGTGGAATCAGCAGTTCCGAAACCAACGCCGCTAATGGGATTATTTCTATTGGAGAATGGACGTTCAACACAAAGCACAACACCTACACTGGCTGGTCTATCCAGACGTAATCTGCTATTGTGTTCCATGCATACTGGTTTTCAAACAACGAATAATTGTTTTGCACATGGATCGGGCCATTCTTTTGCACGATGTCAAATCCAGATTCGGCTGCGACCATAATAAAAGAGAAAACAGACCTCAAACAGTAAGCCAACAAGACTTGATGAACCGGGTCTGCAACAGTCTGAGAATCGACGATGGACATGCGGATATCATATTACCTACCCTCCATTTAGCCAAATACCCCATGGTGCATCAGTTGAAGTGGAAGTGAAAGAGCCTTCCTGGCTCTCGAATGCCCAGAAGAACAAGGTATCGTTTGGATGATCCTCCCTTTGGACAGGAATGTTGCCTGCCCAGTTACGAGCGAGAGGCCATGTAACATTTGGCAGATTGTCAGTCACTTGGAAATCTAGGTGTGTGGTGAGCTGCCATTTACAGGGGCAATCAAGGCTTGACATACAATCCTGCCACTCCGGACTGTAGTTGCCATTCGGCATTCCCGGGTACACCTGAGGCCAGCTGCTTGGGGGTGTGCCAGAGGATTGCTGTGCCTTTGCAAGTAGAACGAATGAGGCGACAGCGGCATAGGCAAAGGCGTGTGACCGGGACACCATGGCAAATGCTGGCAAGTTACGGAGGTGGTAGATGTAACGGCAGCATAGTCAACCACGTTCTTTTATACCAACGACCAAGGAGACCTGGGCGCCTGGGCCACCAACGGTTGGCTTGCCGAAACATGGATACAGTACTATAAGATCATCTCACACTATTGTGAGCGGGAATGTGCCGGCTTCATTTGCTACTCGGACAAATAGCTCAACCTCGATGTCATCAGGTTCAATTATTGTCGGCAAAATATCGATCCACCGTTGTGCAGGAGAAGGGCTGCCAATGCCGCTGCCACGTTCGTGCAGCGCGAGATCTCGTATAGAAGGCGCCGCACTAGACCGCATGTCACAAAACAGAAGCTGAGATTATAGGAAAGTGCTACGTAGCTACGGATCTATAGTTTGGCCCGATATATTGATCTATATAAAGAATCTTCAAGGAGAGTACATATAACGGGACCGCAGCTGTTACTTAGATGGAGGGCGGTTTCTATCCTCCACGTTGACATCGTGTGACTGCTCTTTGCCAATACACATGCGGGAGTCAATGCACGGAAGTCATCTTTTGTTTTACCTTGCAGTGCACCTCGCGGTCTCCATGCCACGATCAAAAATTTATTTACGATCTGTCGAACTTGCTGGAGCTATTGCTAGTTGAATAGCAGTAATATTTACAAACAAGAGTTACAATCTGATCGCTGTAGGTGATCCTACTGCTTTGTGCTACGTTTCCCCTCTTCAGACTATAGACTCTTTTTCAGTGTAGCATCTATTTGTCAACACTATCGATGGGATCTGATATTGCCGCGGAAGAAATCGCAAAAGCTGCCAAAGCAGCCTTCGAAGAGTCTCAGTTACTTCCTGCTGCTGTCCGAAAAGATGCCCTCGCAAAGATCAAACAGCAGCTGGAGACTAACAAAACTGAGATACTCGCAGCAAATAGGCTGGACATGGAGGTGCAGCATCGTTTCTAGGTCCAAAATCTATAATGATCCTCACATATTCTGCGACTCTGCTTGCATACCAAGGCAGCGCAAGTCGAGGTCAATGCAGGCAGGATATCCAACGCGATGATGAACCGTCTCGACCTCGGAAAGGGCGATAAGTGGGATTCCATGCTCAAGGGCGTGCAAGATGTTGCAGACCTTCCCGATCCGACCGGAGTCGTCTCCTATGCTTCACAGCTCGATGACGGTCTCGAACTGTATCGCGTCTCGTGTCCGATAGGCGTTCTTCTCGTCATATTTGAAGCACGCCCCGAGGTTGTGGTAAATATCGCTGCTCTGGCGATCAAGTCAGGTAGGCCTGTTATCTCCAGCTTGTCGTTTGGTGCATGCGGACCGGTCGTTTTCAGGAAACGCTGCGATCCTCAAAGGCGGAAAGGAATCGAACCACACGACACATCTCCTTGCCAAGGCTATTTCGCAGGGGTTGGCACAAACCTCACTTCCGAGCACCTATATCCAAGCCATCCAGACGAGAGCAGAAGTTTCCGCCCTACTGGATCTTGACCGCTACATTGACTTGGTTATTCCCCGCGGGAGCAACAGTCTTGTAAAGGCGATTCAGAACAGCACGCGGATACCAGTCATGGGACATGCGGATGGACTGTGCCACGTTTATCTCGATGAATCTGCTAATTGTCAAAAGGCCGTCCGTGTGGTCGTCGACTCAAAGGTGAGGCAATTGTATAGATGACGATCACATTCTCACGACAACATATGCCAGACGGATTATCCGTCTGCTTGCAATTCAGCAGAAACCCTTATCATCCACACCTCTCTTCTGAACACGGTGTGGCGAGAGGTTGCAGAAGCACTCTTGGCAGCAGACGTTCATCTCTTGTGTGATTCGCATACCTTGTCAGCACTCGCCTCGCTTCCGAATCTCCCCGAAAAGTTCTCGAGTCATGTCCACTCGTCTACAGAATCCTCCTATTCTATCGAGCACCTTGACCTTACGATGTCTGTCATAGCTCTGCCTTCCCTGCATTCTGCAATTCAATTCATCAACTCTCATTCCTCCCATCACACGGATTCTATCGTGACCGAGTCCGAACCTGCCGCGTCTGCATTCTGCCGAGGCGTAGACTCTGCAGGGACATTTGTCAATGCTAGCACGCGTTTTGCAGACGGATTCCGTTACGGCTTCGGTACTGAAGTAGGAATTAGTACAGGACGGATACACGCTCGTGGACCAGTGGGTCTTGAGGGACTTGTCATCTACAAATATATGATGAGGAGCAAGGCGGAGAGTGGTCACATCGTAAGAGAGTTTGGCATAGGAGAGGGGAAGAAGAGCTTTAAGCACGCAGCTATCACAGCAACCAGTGTACCATTCTAAAGAAAGTGACTAACGCAGCAGTTGCAATAAATCATAATATGCCGGCAGATCCTCATGATTGTACATCCTCTTCCAATTTTGCCTTCTTGGCAGTAGGGCTGGCATCACCATCTCCGTCGTCTGCTCTGCGTTTAGCCGGTGCATCTGCTTCGGTAGCCTTCTTCTTCTTCTTCACAACCAACGATGTCAAATCATTAACCACTGCTGGTTGGCCGGGGACAGATACTGGCTTGGCATTCAATTCCGCATCTAGCGCTCTTGCAACCATTGCAGGAGCAGACTCTGTTGGTTCACTGGGAGTTGTTTTAAGTTCCTCCACCTATACAGAAACTTTATCAGTGTACACTTCCCGAGGCTGCAAGGGCTCACTTTTAGAGCGAGGTCTTCCTGTAATCCTTCACACTCTTTAATTTCGGCTTCCATCTGACTCTTGGTCAGATTCCGCACGCTATCTGCATGCACCCCCGAGCCGACGGCCTTGCCCTTGCCCTTGCCCTTGCCCTTTTTATCCGCCTTGGTTTCCTGACTGGGGGCAGGGAACAGCTTTCCGTCGATTCCGTCACGCAGTTCGGCTAGGCGAGCATCGACGCTTGCCAGAGCTTTCTCCGCGTGCAAAATAGCATCCGAAAGGCGTCCAGATGTTAGGTCAAGCACTATACTGAGCTTATAGTGTGCTTCAGCAATTTGACGCGATGAAATCGGGAGAAGATCGATCTTGAGTGCAAGTCCTTCTGAGTAGTCGGTGATAGCTTGGTCGAATTTCTCTAGCGTAGAGTGTTATTATGCGGATACTTATGCGAGTAAAGGTCGACATACCCGTCTCGAGAGATACATCTCCGAGGGCAATATATGTCTCAGCCAGCTTCATTTTGATTTCGTCGTCTTCATCCTTGCCTTTCTCGTAAATTGCACGCGCAAGCTCCAAGACTTCCCATGCGGCATTGAAGTCATCTTCTGGCTCTCCATCCTCCCCTTCCCCTTCCCCATTCTCTTCCTCACCCTCTTCTTCTTCTTCTGCAATTGCGGCTTGACCAAAAAGGTCTACGCCTTCATCCGCATCCCCGGAAAAGGATAGAATAGGACCCTTTCCGTTGACTGAGGCTATTCAGTGATCAGCCGAGGCGACGAAGTAAATCAAACGCGTCACGCACGTTTCTCTTCTGCTTCATCTCCGTTCTCGGGTTGTTCTTTACCCAACACTGACGCCTGTGATATCGCGTTTTCTAGCAGCGCCTTTCCATACGAGAAGTAAAGATTAGCTGTTTCTGGCGCATCCTCGCCATGCCTCTTTGTTCTAGTGGCACGAAGATACGTAGCGCGTCAGAACCACGTCCAATGAGTCCTGCTCTGGTCACGTACTGAAGTTCCAGGGCAGTAGCATAGTGCTCAACTGCTTGCTCGTACTTTTTGAGGGGAGATGCGCGTCTGGCATGTTCAAGAGCAGTCTCAACAGTCATCTCTGGCCGCAGACGCGTCGGTGGCATTTGTCTTCGCCCGCTTTTGACTGTTTCCCTGCATTCATGATACTTTTTGTCAAAACAGAGTACCAGGTACCTTCGGGACGCAACTCACGAGGGCCATCCTGAAGTAGGTTAGACACCTGTAATGGTAAGGTTGGTGGCGGTAAAGAAAACAAGTGGCAGCCAGCGCCAGGAAGCGGGGATTGTTGACGCGGTTTCTGATCACCGGTAAACGGTGGCTCGGGGTCTTTGATGCTGCCACTCAACGTTACTGGAGTCCTCAAACTCGTCAAACTCTATACTGCATCAGCAAAAAATTGGTATTCAGACGCTTGTACAAGCTCTGACTACTAGATTACAAAAGACGAAAGCTAAGAAGGAATGAATGGGAGGTCCAGGCAATGTGATATCCCGTGAGCTGTAAACGATAGTGGGGGGATCTTGAGTGAGTGATAGCGATAGGAGACAAAATTGACAAAGAATAGATGCGTGAATTAGACAGTAATAAGTCGTGAGCAAGACTAAATAAGCGACGTTGTCCCGCTTGCTGCTGGAAAGGCTGCTGCGAGGGATCCTGGGCACCAGGATATAAAAGCACCCCTTCCATAACTGGATCCAAAGGATGAGGATCCGTTGATTGCGCCAAACTGTGGCAGCGAGCTCATAGTGGATAGCATAGAACCGCCCCCGGCACTGGCGAGACGTGCCATACATCGTAGCCCTGAAAGGGTTAGCTCCACCGGCTGCCCGGTTGCCTGGGGTCTAAGACCGACCCGAGCGTGGGCCTTGTATCTGGCTGTGCATTAAAGGCTCCAAAACCAGTGGGCTGCTGTCCGATGCTTGAAACGCCAAAAGGAGAAGTTGTCCCGTTCGGGGCTGGTGCGGAAGGCGGGTTACTAGGCGTACCAGTGACACTGGGAGTAGTGGGACCGGACTGGGGTATTGGAGGCAGTGATTCCAATAACGATGCCCCAAAAGATGACGTCGGTTTAAATGGCTTGATGCCACTGAATCCGGTCATTTGGGGCTTCAGCTGGCCACCTGGAGCCGAGATGGAAGGAGTGGAAGAGGTGATGGTGGCACCAGTAGGTTGCGTGGACAGCGGCGAAAAAGAAGAAGACAGGGAAGACGATGCAGTTGATGCAGTCGTGGTGGAGGATGAGCTTTCAGGGTTGAGTAGTCCAAACTCGCTAGGGCTAAAATTACTGTCCTCTGATTTCCGGCCGAACGCAAAGGACGAGGCAACACTCGATATCGACGACTCGCCGCCTGACGTTCCAAAAAAGCCCGTCTTTTGTGGCTGTTGAGTCTGAGGCGGTGCATAATCAGCGGAGGGAACATTGTTCGAGCTTCCGATACCCATCGCCAGCTCCATCAGTGTTGGTGGCTTTGGCACTGGCGGAGCTGGTGTGATTGGCACACCGAACGGATTACGTGAACCAGTCTGATGGGATTTGACAGGTTGTGCTACTGGCGGCGAGGTTGAAGATGCCTGTGTTGCCCCAAAAGTTGTGAGGGGGGTCGACGCAGGCCGGAGTAGGGACGTCAAATGATGTACGTATCCCATTGATCTGTCCAAACGGTGTACTCGAGGGAGGTGCCTGCATAGCAAATCCATTCGATGACTGTGCAAATGATGGCTGAGATGGCTGAGGCTGGGAATTTAACTGGAACGGGTGTTTGTTTGCCCAATAGGCTGCGATGGAGGCGAGAAGGCATTGGTTGCCGCAAAGTTGAAAACTGGCGTGCCTGACCCCTGCAGCATCATACTTTGTCTAAACGGGTTTGCTCCAGTAGCTTGAGGCTGCAAGAAACCTGCGCCTTGTGGCATCGCAAATCCAGTAGCTTGTGGTTGCAAGAAGGTGGAGAAAGGTCGATGTTGATGTTGAGAAGGTGGTGGTTGCATACCAAAGGCGTTGGGCTGAACTGACTGGAAGGACTGAGGGAAGGCAGTGGCTTGCGGTTGAATTTGATCAGGGAAACCGAAAGGTTGACCTTTGGAAAGCACCGGTCATTTGTCGCTGAACGAAAGGATTGGGTGCTGGCTGTTGACGGAGGTAATTGGAGGTTGGGCTGTGGGAAAATTAGTAAGATCCTTGGGATATCGCCGTGACTCGTGGCTTACCTGCCACTCGTAGGATTGATCCTGGGGGTTTATCTTCCTCGATAGAAGCAAAGAAGTCGTCCATAGCCCGACTAGCTTCAGGTTTGGGTGCGGGGTTGGAAGCTTGAGTGGATGACCTATTTGATGGGGCAGATGTGGATGCAGTAGATGTGGATGGCGTCGCTTGTGACGATGAAGCTGGGGAGAAGTCAGATGAATAACTCTCTGAAAGTAGACCAAGTCACCTTTAGGCGCTGAAGATGGAGTCCCACTGCGACTTCTGCCGTTCTTGTCAGCAGCTTCTTTATTTGTCCTGTACTCAATTCTGTTCTGCTCGAAATTGGGGTCGTTCAGGTATTCTTGGAGTGCACCCGCCAATGATACAGGAGCCTGTTCGTATATGTGAGTGGTCTAGAAAGGACAGGAAAGCTCTACTTACATGCTTCAGGGTCGGGATTGAAACATTTAGTAAATTCTGCAATTTCTTGGCGACGCCCAAGTACTCCACCACTCGCTCTGTCTGAGTGCAGAAGTGTCGATATATGGACAGGGCCTGCTCGGCGTCAACCTTTGTCATCTCGAAATAGTGTTCTAGGATTACATTTAGCGAAAAAGTGACATGCGGGACCGATAAACCAACCTAATACATTGATGACGCCTTCATTGCCAGCCTGGAAAAGAATAAGTAAATCCTTGACGAGCATCCGTAGCGCAGTTATTGTCAATTCATCTTCCAAATCGTCAAGATAGAACTGATGGATACTGTGAGTGACGTTGGCAGTGTCGGACGTGTAGGCGTACCCTGCACTCCACCAGGGTGTCAATCATTGTTTGCACGGTCTTGGTCTCACGGAGTAGGCCCTTGTCCACAGTCATGACCCGCAATTTCCTTCCCATGATGGTTTTACTCCTCTGAGGACCCTTGGACTTTGTGGATGCTGACTTTGGGGCACTGGTGTATGCCATATCCTCTTCGATAGAACTGTTGACGCGCATGTCACGATTAGACTCTGCTTGAACACGAATCGCATCGTGCTTCAAATCACGATATGCGTGTATGCGAGAGTCCAAATAAACTGCATAGTGCTGGAGATTCTGGGGAGCGTGGTATCCTTGGCAAAGCGTCAAATAAGTGGGTCTAGGAATCGATAAGTAAGACATACCTTCCCAGTTACCTGCGGAGACATTTTTCAGACGGAGAACTTCCGACGAAGATAGATGAGACAAGACGTTGTCTGTCGCTCCATTGCGAATCATGGTGTGGAGCACGATCAGTGCCTTGAACACAACCTATGTATATCATCAGCTGTGCTCGAGAGTGCGAGAAATCAGGGACAAACGATGGCATTGGGTTCGCGAAGGCGGGGAACGAGCGCTTTGCAAACATCATGGACAGCCCCGTCTTCAGACCAAGTAGCTGCAATGATGGGATCTAGGTACTAGGGGATACGAAAGTTAGCGAGAAACCAAATTACAAGTGGTATTGAAATATATACCTTTGCCTTTGGAGGGGCGGCCTTTGGTTTACAGGCTAGCTTGACTGTCTTGTCGAAGCTAGACATTGCTCGAGGATGATGTTGAGCATAACATTGGTATATTCATTTCCCAATTCTCATACGACTTCAAACTCAGCTCCGCCAGCTTCCGCTAAATTTATACTATAAAATAATCAGAAACCAAGATAAATATTCAGATATATTCCCAGTAACTCTTGTAGTAGTTTCGTATCGCTTCCGTTGCATCTGAG